CTGTTTAATGTACTTTGACTCCTTTAGAGGCATATCCAGGAGTAATATGGCTGGGCCATATGGATCATATGGTGGCTCTGGCTTTGAGAAACCTCCACGGTACTACACCAGCTTTCACTCCCACTGGTAATATGTAAGTATTCCTCTTTCTCCTCATCCTTACCAGAATTTGTTGCTATTTATTTGTCTTCATGTTAGGCACTCTGGCAGAGGAAAAGAGAAAATCTCAGGTTAGTTTTAACTTGAATTTCCCTAATGGCCAAAGCTGTCAAACAAATTAAACACACACACACACACACACACACACACACACACACACTTTTAAAAAGGGCCAACTCAGATGTAGTCCATGACAACGTAGTATCCAAGTGGGTTCCATAGTAATGGGAAGAGGGACTGCCTCTGACATAATATGATTGGCCTGCTCTTTGATCACCTCCCCCTGAGGGGAGAGCAGCCCTACCAGACCACAGAAGATGACAATGCAGCCATTCCTGATGGGATCTGATAGACCAAGATCAGAAGGAAGGAGAGGAGGACCTCCCCTATCAGTGGACTTGGGAGGGGCAAGCGAGAAGAAGGGGGAGAGAGGGTGGGGCTGGGAGGGGAGGAGGGAGGCGCTTATGGGGGGGATACAAAGTGAATAAACTGTAATTAATAAAAAATTTTAAAAAAGATAAAAAGGGCCAACTCTCTGCACAAACTGCCTCTCCTTGCTTACCTCACCCTGATCTCCATAGCTGTTGCACATCCACAACCCAGACCATCCCTCTCTGACTTCTGCAGCACCCATGGAAACATTTCCCTGGCAGGCACGGTGCATCAAAGCCTGGCTCAAACAGCACACAATGAATGATTGTCAGTTTGATTACTTCTTTAAAGAAAGTTCAACCTAGGTTTATTTCTGCTTTCTTTAGCTTTTTCTACTATAGGAATAGAATTTGTCTTTCATATTAAATTGCTCATTTACCGTTTTTTAATTGGTTACCTTTGTCCTTTGACAATTTCATACACATGTATAATATACTTCAGTTTCTCCATCTCCCCTTCCATCCTCCATTTTTCCCTTATTTCCCACCCATCCTTATCACACCCTTCCACCTTCTCTACAAGTTTGTTTTTTTTTTTAGAAAGATTCATAACTTTCAGTTTTGTTTGAGGACACATTTAGTTTAATTAAGATTATGTGAGTGAGCACTATATTGGAACTACCCATTGGTAGGGTTATGATGGAAACACAATAACAAATAATTTAGCAGTGAAAAAGAGGGACCCTGAATCTCTCCTCAATTCATGCCTGACTGCTGACAGGTTCATTTATGTGGAGTCTCCCAAGGCAGGCATTCATAGCTGCTGTGAGCTTATGATTGTAATTTCTGTGTCTTCTCCAAAAGATGGTATTCTGTAGCCCTTCTCTCTACTTTTGGCTCATATTATTTCTAACCCCTATCCCACAATCCCTAAGCCTTAGAGGGGCTAATGTAAATGTCTTGTTTACAGCCAAACATGCATCCATTACTTAGTCTCAGATGACAAAATGCCCATGGAGGAAAGGGCATCTTCAACAAATCACATTGGGAAAGCTGAATGTGCACTTGTAAATGAATGAAACTAGGCTATTATCTCCCACCTTGTACAGAAACAATTCCACATGTATTAAAAGCTTCAATATATATAAAGACTGAAACTCTGAAACTGCCTTAAGTGAATGTAAGGAGCTCACTACCATATATAGGCATAGGTGAGAACTTTCTAAACAGGATTGTGGTCACTGAAAAATAAGATCAACCCTTGACAAATAAGCCCTTACAAAACTAAAAAAGTGTATGTAAAGAAAAGCAAACATCAGATTGAGTGAAGAGGCAGCATGGGAGAAAATCTTTTCCAGGTGTGTACCCAACAAGGGATAAATATCTGAAGTAAACCAAAAAATTAAACATCAAGAAAACAAACAACCCCGTCAAAATGGGCTACAGATCTGAACAGAGAATCTCAAAAGAAGAAAGACAAATGGCTCAAAATCACTTAACAAGGTGTTCAAAGTTGTTTGGCCGTAAGGGAATACAAATTAAAGCTTCCTTGATCTTACTTCAATCAAAATGATTATCATCAAGAAATTTTATGACAAGTGTTTTTAAGGATGTGTTGACATAGAAGCCCCTACTCACTGCTGGTGGGAGAAAAAAAAAAAAACTGGCTGACTTCCCTATGGAAGTCAGTTTGGGGATTCACCAAATCTTAGAGACATCTATCACAGGACCTAGCTACACCATTCCTTGGCATATACCCAAAAAGACTCAATATCCTTCAGGAAGATTTGCTCACCATGTTTTACTGATGTGTTCACAATAGCTAAAAATGTAATCAACCTAGATCTCTACTGACTTATTAACATATAATGTACATGTACATAAGAGATTATTCCACTGTACAAAAAAATGAAATTTGTGGGTAAATTGATGAAAGTGGGAAAATTATATTGAGTGAAGTAAGCCAGGCCCAGAAAGATAAGTGAAATGTTCTCCCTTATACTAGCTTCTCCCTGAATACTAGCTTCCAGTCTCTTATTTTGTATGTTCAATATGGAATACCCATATTGAATCTAAAACACTAGAAAGAGGTCACTGAAGGAGGGATGTGTCAAGGAAGACTGAGAGCAGATAGTATTAAATATTTTTCATCCCATTTCAAAGATGTGCCATCTAATTAGCCTCCCTACCCAGAACAGCTGTTCAATGTTTAGATCTGTTAGGAACTCAAACTAATAAATAGGAGGAAAAGTACTCAATTATAAAATGGGAAAGGGACTTGAACAGATTTTTTTTCTCTAAAGAAAATGTTCAAATTTATTCACATACATGTTTTCAAATGCCCAGCATGTCATAAATAATGGTTATCTTCAACTTTTGTTGACTTAAGAAGATGAAACTAAATAATCTAGAAATAATATGGCCTGTAAGAAGCCTACTAAAATACGCCTCTGCCAGCAGCTCTAAAGTTTATGTCTAGAAGGTCAACTTGTTGCAAATTGAACTGTATCATCCAAAAAATGTGATACTACAACCTCATCCTCAATGTGGTAGTATTTGTAGATGGGTCATTTAGGAGACAATTGGAGTTAGAAGAGACACTCAGCGTGGGATGATGTCATGGGTTTCCCACCCTTGTTAAAATAAGAAAGCGATAGCAATCACCTAGAAAACCAGAAAAAAGGGACCCAGCTACACGTTTACATGATTATAGACTTCCAGCCTCCAGGGTTATTTTTAAAAACCACCCTGCCCCACCACACCCCACCCTAGACTATACTTTCTTATAGCATCACAAAGGTCTAAGCCATAACCTGTGATGTGTGTCTTTCTATTCTTCCAAAGGAAAGAGACAAGAGACACAAGTCCCAGGACAGCAAAGAGATTTCCTGAGCATGGATGGAAAAGTTTGCTTCAGCCCATGAAGCAAAAGACACACCCTGCCACATCTGTGTGTCAACTCTCTAAAACAAGAATTTGAATAAACTAAGACTTTCTTTAATGCCTTCTCTGTGCTTGCCAGACACCATGGGACACAGATCATGGGAAAGGTCACCAAATAGTTTTCCTGGCAGTTCCCAAGACACCACTCCTAGTCATTGTCAGGCTCAAAGGGTATTTGGCAGGGTAACAGGTTTTTTCCTCTAGTAAACCCTAGATATCCAGTCAACTACCTGCACTGGCTACAGGCTTCATTTGATGCAGGACAATACCAACCCCTCCTCTGAGTAACAACATCCTGCTCTTCTCTATAGACCACACTTTTTCATTTAACAAGGCCACAAATGGTCGCTTCTGGCATAGCTCAACCGTAAAGAAAGTGAAGCCGTTAAACATACTGCTTTCTCTCTCTCTCTCTCTTTGGTATAGTTGTTTGTTAAGGAAAAGAAAGATTAGGAAGGAGCTAGAGTGGGTGTTGCTTTATAGCTATCACCAAGCAGAACAGTTTTATCTCAGGGTACTGAAAAATGCTGGGCATGGAGGCTCATGTCTGTATTTTCCAGAACTCAGAAGACTCAACACAAGTTTAGGGCTGCATTAGTCTACACAGTGAGCTCCATACCACTTTGGGCTACAGAACTGAGGCTGTCTAAAGAACAATATTTAATTAATAATAATAATAATAATAATAATAATAATAATAATAAACTTAATTATTTTAAGCCTCAAGTTGGTTCCAGGTAAAATTGCTACATGAGCAAAGCCTGTCTTTACCAAGTTCATCTGCTCTTGAAATCTTTTATTAATTCTCTGTCTCCCTTTACCTCCTATATCCCAATGATTTTAGAATGTCATCTGGGGCTCTAATCCCTAAGAAAGGTACATGTAAGTGTGCCACTACTTTCTTGTGATTTAGTTTATTATTATTATCATATGTGTTGATATATTTTTTTTAAAGATGTGATACACCTATTTTAAGCGGTTCCCATGGCTTACCTGGCAAAAAGTCTCTCTTCTAGAATAAAAATTTCCAAACCTATATTTTCAGCTCCAAAAATCTCTTGCCAGATCCTGACACAGACGTCCAGCTGGGAATTTCACTGGTGGACAGTTCTTCTTTATCTTGTAGATATTAATCTCTTAGTACCTCTACTTGAATGTTACATGTTTACATACACCTCAAAACATGGGTTATCTGTGAAGGATTAGTTTCTGGACCACGCAAACTGTTCCAACAATAAAAAAGAAAACTACTTCAAAGAAACCAAGATTCAAAAAGCATCCAAAGCTGGAAAACCACACAGATGAGCAAGTAGATGACTATACAGGAAGTCACCTGAACCTGAGATTTTTATTGTAGAGCTGCCATGCCCTTGGAGACAAGATACAGTGTGCATCATGGTAGTACTGCATAGAGCTGCTGATGGACCGCATTTTCCAATTAGAACTAAGAGATGACTCCAAGGTAGACTTGGGGTCATGAAGAAACTTTTAAAATAAAAAAGTAAATAAATAAAGATAAATGGCTCCTCTGCCCCCAGGGGCATTGCAGGTGTAGCTGCTTTTTGTCACATGTGCGTAAGTAGGTGACAGAGATGGAAGAGGCTATGTCTGTGCTCAGTGTTCTGATCTGTGAACACGTCAAGGATTGGGAGCCTAACATGCAATACGTCTCCTCCATCTCTCTTTCCCCCTCCCTCGATCTCTCTCTGTCTCTCTGTCTCTCTGTCTCTCTGGGGGTATCTCAATCTCTCTCCCTCCCATCTGCCCTCTCTCCCTCCCTCTGGATGTATCTCAAATCCCCCTAGAATAATAAATTTTAACTGGCTTGAATGTACTTGGGCATCAGGACTTTAAAGTTCTCCAGAGGTTTGGAAGCAGTGAGCATAAAGAGTGGGTGTCCCCTAAGAGCTTTAAAGAAGAGCTGATGTTTCCTAAGAACTTATCTCTGTGAGTTTAAAAACCCAGTCAATCAGAATCTAAAATCCTTATGCCTAGCTCCCTTGTTTAAAGATAGAATCCATAAATTGGCAGGTGGAAGGAGATGGTGGAACCATGAAAAGAATTAAAGCCATCAGTAAGTGAGTGTCATGTACGTCATAAAACAGTGAGCATCTTTCTTGGCTTCTACTCAGTGGATGCAGTGTGACAATCAAACATGCCTCCAGGTGCTGCCAAGGGCACATGCAAGTGCAAACGACAGCACAAATGGCACAAAACCAAGTTCCTAGAGGTTAAGCCACTCGCTCAGGGACTTAGCAGGATAATTAGCAGTGGTAGGGAGGGGAGAGACAGAAGATATACACATGTTTACACATGTAGGTGCACACATACAGCTCAGGAAAAGCGAGATCCATGTCACTCTTACCTAGCTCTTAAAAGAGGAAAACTAAGGTAAATAAGAACTTTAAAAACTTGAAGCCAACTGCTTCAGGCATGCTGTGGATAAAATATTATTTCTCAATCACAAGATATGGGAAGTGGGGGTTTATTTTAGTTGTCTTTGTTGCCTTTGTTTACTTGTTTATCTCACGACCAGGTCTCTCATTTCCCACACTGGTTACTAACTTTCTATGTGCTCGAGAATGACCTTGAATTTCCAGTCTGCTGTCTCCCTAATGACCTTGAATTTCCAGTCTGCTGTCTGCCTCTGCCATAGACTAGGAATACAGATGCACACCATTGCACCTACTTTGTGCAGTGGTCGGTGTCAAACCCGGGACTTTGTACATGTTATGCAAACACTTTAACAACTGAACTAGATCCCCATCCGTACACAGTATTGTGGCTACATACCCACATTGTTCACAGACAAAGTTCCCACCTCCTTCTCAGCCATGTTGCCTTCATACAAATAGCCCAGAAATTCCCAGGGAGAGGGCAACAAACGTTTGGCTCAATTATTCATGTTAACACAATTAGACATTATTTTATTCAGAGTAAGTGGATTATAAATTAGTCATAATACTATCTGTAAATAAAAGTAAAGGGACAAGAGTGAAATAGGTTTGAATCTGTCAAGGTGAGTGATGTTATCTGAGGTGAAAAATTAACAGTGTCTGCCATTGAAAACAGAGCTGGTTTTAGGTTACTGCAGAGTAGCTTTGGATGTGACCCACAGAGCAGGGGGACAGTTTTCCTCTGAGTTGTCTTCGTGAGGTGGTATTTCCATATGGGTCACAGACTTGGGTTACAGACAAACCTTCCCTATCATGTTCTCTCATCTCTGTTGAGAGATTATTATGATACTTTCTGGAAAGGCTCAAAGACACCCAATAAGCGAAGAAGTGATCATGCAGGTACCAGAATGTTCTTTCAGCTGGCCAAAGACAACAAAAGCAAAAGAGAATTTAAAATAGAACAGAGTATCAACATTTGACAGTAGGAGGCTGAGGAGAAGCAGAAATGAAGTGGCTCTCAACACCTTACATTATAAGAAAGTGAGAAAACCTTTGGAAGTAAAGATAGCAATGATTTTGTAATTCAGTAAAACTGGAAAAGTCAGGCCTGAGATCAGCTGCAGCCATGCGCTCTTCCATGATGTACCTTCTTGCTCTGTGCCTCAGCTCTGCTCCCTGTACACTGAGATGCTAGAGCCGTGGTAATTCTCAGATGGGATTGTATATGTAAACATCCTAGCACAATGGTTGACACCAAATATTACTCTGTCACCTTCATTGTTCCCTTCCTTCCTTTTCCAGATCCATCCTGGAAAAAATGGAGGGCAAAAGAAATGTGGATTGGGGCTTATTTGCAAAGCTTACTGCCTGTCCCTTCAGTATCGGCTGAGGACCATGTGAATGCTGGCCTGAAATCAGACCTTCACTGGGTTTTACTAAATCTCAACTGTTTTTCCGCCTGCTTCTCTATAAATGGTACAGGCTTGTCCTGTTTAAGTGGGAATGACCTGTATACAACCCAGGATCCATACTGGGCTAAAACCTTGACAGTAAAGCAATTGTGTCAGATATAGCTATAGCAGGGCTGATCAAACATGAGACAGAAACTTCCGAATTCCAAAACAGGTGAATTGGGGCAAAGAAGTGAGCAGCTTTAACCTTAGCCCAAAGAGAAAGGGCCAGGGCCTCTCCATCTCTAAATATTTTAGAGAATAATGTAGAGGCTGCCTCCTCGGCCTGTTATGCGCCTTTTGGAGCTTAAAATAACAAGATTTTATAAAATTGGTGAGCCAGACTTATGATTTTCCTGAAGTCAGTACAGTTAGAAATTTGTTTAAGAATGTTTTGTCCTCTCAAAAGGAGCTCCCTTCCTGAGTCAAAGCTCTACTCTGTGCAGGGCTACCAGCACCACTGAACAGAGAGCATCTTGTTTCGAAGGATAGGAAGGCAGATGAATACTTAAAGATGCATTATCCTGAATTTCATCATTTCACTAAGCAGAATAAGAACTGTGCTTCTAAACAGGAAGGACTAAAAGAGACATTCCCCAATGACCTTTCAGTGATAACTATATAAATACATGGGAACCCAAAAGAAAACATCAGTCATTAGATGTCACTCAAACAAAGACATTCAGGAATGGACTACTAATAAGGTAAAGGGTCGGGGCACTTGGTCATGTGGGGTAAAACAGAGACAAGTGGCTGTGTGCACCCATGGTTGGGGAAAAGGTATGGAAAAGGGGCTGTTATTCAGTTAGAAACAGAAAACACAGGATTTCAGCGATGCAGGCTACACTAGTCAGTGTGAGGAAGAATGGTAGAAAATGGGTAATATGACATATAACAACAGTGTCCAGTGAAAATTGACCAGAGTGTGCTAATCTTGATGTCTTCAAACCTGGACATGTGACTTTGGAGGGTCCTTGTCTGATGGAACCTCAGACACTGCAGACCCTACCTAGAGCACTAGTCTGTAGCTCTAGGCTGCCTCAAGTAGGATAGTAGAGTGGAAAATGAGCAACAGAGAATGTCAGGAAAAGGGCTATCACTGAAGCACAAATAGCAATAATCCAGAAGCATAGTAATGGCATTCTTGAAGGAATTTACTCCCAGTGTGATATAGAAAAGCATGGTGGAGGAGACTATGCGTCTGAGATGTGTCAAGGAAGCAAGCTGCTGGAAATGGGACCCTGCAGAATAACCCTCCCACTCACCGACTGTGATGAACAAGAAGCTGTGCAGAATGAGGAAACAGGAGTTGGTGTCCAAGCACAATCACAGAACTTGCCAACAGCAAAGACCTCAGCAAAAGATATCAAGACACAAGTCATTGTCTGTTGGATTTCATCTAACCGAACCCACGAGTATACTCTCTACACACAATTAGATGGTCTTAGATTATCTGTAATCACAGATAATCCTCCAGCAAACTGAATGCTGTCTCAATCCATTTTTGAGCTCATTTGACCTCCTGGTTTCTCCACCCATGTACGAGTGTGGCCTTCCTGCTGCTGCCTGTGTAACCATAACTCAGCTCTGCTAATGTCCCAGTTTCTTAGACTGTTCCACCCTGGCTTCTGATCTGGACCACGGGCCTCGAGTATGCCTTTCCACCATAAACCAGAATACCACACTGAAGTTACCTAGAAATGCCTAATATGCAGTGAGAGTCTGAGACTCCTATAATGACTATAGCATGTGCTATGGACTGACTAGTTTTGTGTCCCAAACCATTATATGCCAATTGCAAATCTCCAATATGATGGCGTTTGAAGGTGGTACCTTTTATGAGGAAATGGAGTAAGGAAGATGTATCCTTTATGAGTGACACTAGCAACAAAGAACAGTAGAAACAAAAATTTTAATTGGCAGATCTATAGAAAATGTGAAGCAGACACTAAACAAGGACATCCTGGTGACAGTTGTGCCACATTACAACATGTTCTTGTGCTGGGACAAGAAGGGAGAAACTCTGTATCAAGCCACGTTGCCAGGATGAACAATTAAATAGCTTATTTTCAAACCTTAAAGAATTCTCCTCCAATGACTAAGAAAGAGTTCGTGAACAATGAAATCATGTGAACATGCCATGGAAGATGACTCGAATTCAAATTTGCTGGGTGCAAAGACTGAGGGTGACGGTGGACCAGCTCCCTAAGTCCCACTGAGAGAATCTTAAGCTCAAGCAAAAATCATCCACTAAGGATACCCACATTTTTTTTTGCATTTTCATAATTTTTTTTGAATTTTATTTTTTTCTTATCAGTTACATTTTATTAACTCTGTATCCCAGCCGTGTCCTGATCCCTCATTCCCTCCCAATCCCACCCTCCCTCCCTCATCTCCACCGTGCCCCTTTCCAAGTCCACTGATTGGGGAGGACCTCCTCCCCATTCATCTGATCCTGTTTTATCAGGTATCTTCAGGACTGGCTGCAAAGCTCTCCTCTGTGGCCTAACAGGACTGCTCCTCCCTTGGGGGGTGGGGAGGCCAAAGAGCCAGTCATTGAGTTCCTGTTAGAAATAGTCCTTGTTCCCCTCACTATGGGAAACCAATTGGTTACTGAGCTACCACAGGCTACATCTGAGCAGAGGTTCTAGGTTATATCCATACATGGTCCTTGGTTGAATGTCAGTCTCAGAAAAGACCCTGTGCCCAGATATATTTGGTCCTTGTGGCGCTCCTATCCTTTCCCCATCAGACTAACTCCCCTTCTTTCTTATGATTCCCTGTACTCTGCCAAAGGTTTGGTCATGAGTCTTT